CCAGGTGGTTGTGGTTCTGGTTGTTGTTGTGGTTGTTGTTGTTGTTGTTGTTGTTGTTGTTGTTGTTGTTGTTGTTGTTGTTGTTGTTGTTGTTGTTGTTGTTGTTGTTGTTGTTGTGCAGGTCGACAGCGTGGAGCACGGCAATGGCACTCAGGTAAGTACCGCTGACGCAGGTATGGCCTCCGCCCCTCTTCTTCTTCTTCGACAGCGTGGAGCACGGCTATGGCGCCCAGGTGGTTCTTCTTCTTCTTCTTCTTCTCCTTCTTTCTTCTTTTTCTTCTTCTTCTTCTTCTTCTTCTTCTTCTTCTTCTTCTTCTTCTTCTTCTTCTTCTTCTTCTTCTTCTGGTGGTTGTTGATGTTGTTGTTGTTGTTGTTGTTGTTGTGCAGGTCGACAGCGTGGAGCACGGCTATGGCGCCCAGGTGGTTGTGGTTCTGGTTGTTGTTGTAGTTGTTGTTGTTGTTGTTGTTGTTGTTGTTGTTGCTGTTGTTGTTGTTGTTGTTGTTGTGCAGGTCGACAACATGGAGCACGGCAATGGCGCCCAGGTAAGTACCGCTGACGCAGGTATGGCCTCTGCCCCTCGTCTTCTTCTTCGACAGCGTGGAGCACGGCTATGGTGCCAGGTGGTTCTTCTTCTTCTTCTTCTTCTTATTCTTATTCTTATTCTTCCACACTACTATAAGAATCGCTTTTTCATATCGTACGGCCTGAATCGCAGGCCGGTACCGTTACCGCCCACGGCCCAGATTGGCCTGCGATCAGAAAGTTTTCTGATCGGCCTGCGATCTGGGCCGTCGCCGGTAACGTTACCGGTGACGGTCCAGATCGCAGGCCGATCAGAAAAGTTTCTAATCGGCCTGCGATCTGGGCCGTCCGCGGAGCGTTACCGGCCGGCGATTCAGGCCGTGAGATATCGGTACCTGAGGCGCCCGTTCTCCTGCCCGTCGGCCCGTAATTGTGGCCGCCCCCCCCCTCAACCTTTTTGGACCGTGACAGATCGGTACCGGAGGCGCCCGTTCGCCTGGCCGTCGGCCCGTAATCGTGGCCGCCCCCCCCC